AGCTTTTGGGACAGCAGCTTGGGGAAGGTTGACGAGGGGGTTCGGCTGACAAGTTATCGTAATGCAAGCATATGCCCATGCACGATCGGTACCTTCACTAACTAAACCTAAACTCAATATTTTGGATCTCCGCATTTGTTTAACATTTTTTGTTTGTTATTTAACCATAGATTACGATATGAATTGCAATTAATGTCCTAGATCTTCGTTGTACCACTTCGTGAGTAGAGAGGCAATCGCCTGATTATTGCAAAGTGCACTGACCTCTTATTTGAAGGTTTTAGTGCCTATTTATAAGGCTACGTCTTCTTTATGGCGACATTCAAGAAGATATCCTGTAATACGCAAACGAGCTCGGAAGCGTGGTCGTCGCCAATTAGAGTTCTGATTCAGGGAATTCTACTCGGCGCACGCCGTGGGATAGATTGTTCTCCCGCGTTGGGATCCCACTGGAACCCTCCCCACCCCCCTTGCGGCACGCCCACCTTCTCGGCCGCCCGGGTCGCCCCTCACTCCGCCCCCCTCGCCCTGTCTCTTTTCTCTTCCTCCTCTCCATCCGTCATGTCCCGCTTCTCGTCTTTTTCCCTTTCAACCTGCCCCCTCCTCTCAGCACTTCACTGACCCTCAAACTCTCTCTCACCCTTAACCTCTCTCTCACCCTTAACCTCTCTCTCACCCTTAACCTCTCTCTCACCCTCAACCTCCTCTCACCCCCAACCTCTTCTCTCACCCTCAACCCTCTCCAACCTTCAACCTCTCTCCACCCTCAACCTCTCTCTCACCTCAACCTCTCACCCTCAAACCTCTCTCTCACCCTAACCTCTCTCTCACCCTTAACCTCTCTCTCCACCCCTACCTCTCTCTCACCCTACCTCTCTCTCACCCTTAACCTCTCTCTCCCCTACCTCTCTCTACACCTACTCTCCTCACCTCACTCTCTCTCACCCTCAAAACTCTCTCTCACCCTCAACCTCTCTCTCATCCTCAGCCCCTCCTTCTCTCACCCAGCCCCCTTCTCTCACCCTCACTCCTCCGCTCCTTCTCTCTCACCCTTGCTCTCTCTCTCACCGCCACTCCCCGCTCTCTCGCCCTGTCTTTCTCTCTTTCACCACTGTCTCTCTCTCTCTATCGCCTTCTCTCGCCCATCGCGGGCAGTGTCTCCCGTGCCCGCGTCCGTTGCCCGACGCCTGCCGCATACCGCGCGGGCTACCCGCCCGCCCCGCCCTTCAGCACGCGCCGCGCAGCACATCATCTTTTGACAGCGTCACGTCGATGTGTTCTGTACCATGGCGAACGCCGCGCTTTCCTTGTTCACTGATGACTCTTGTGCGCCGCCGCGCCGTCCCCTCTCGGGCTCGCCGACCCCTCCAGTACCCCCTGCGTCCTCGCCGTCCTCGGCGTCCTCGCTCTTGCTTCGCTCGCTTCGCGTGGCAACGCTAGCCGCCAGGGGGCGTATCGGGTCGCGGCCCGCCGCCGCGCCGCGCCGCGCCGCGCGCGCCTCCGCCTCCTCCGCCTCCGCACTTCGCGCGCGATGTGGCGTCGGGTGTCGCGTGGGCGTGATGTTTGAGTGACTGAGGACGATGCTTAAAACAAGGGGGCGGATTTTAATGAAATGTCATTTTTTGTCTTTGCACTGTAGAACAATGTCGTTTAATATAGAAATTAATTTTATGTTATAACGAGACAAAATGACCCATTTTTATATCATTTTTTGAATTTTTCATCGATTTCGACTTGTTTACCTTCTGAATTCATTGTTCCTGTATTATTTACGAGGTCCAAAAAATGTTCACCACAGAATTCCTGAGTAGCCAAATCGATTTCCTCGCTCATATATTGTAATGTCAGTCGTAGGTTCCTGTGACGTTTATCGGCGCCATTGTCAGTTCGGCCGATTTCGCGATAAATAAAGGCAGAGATTTTCTTTCAAAGAACATTCCAAACCCAACGTTTGCAAGCTGAGTTTACTTGAATAAAAGGAAGGAGCCTCGATTATATCGGTAACATATCCAACAGCTTGTTCATCTGAAATACTTTTGATACAATTTTTTACGTCATTTTTGTTTTTTTTTAGGAGTTTTTAAAGCATTGTAAGAGCATTTTATTTACCATTTTTGGCAAAGTTTTGGGTCGTCATAATTGTCCTCTACTTAAGACCCAGGAAATATTATCGAATCGTACTTTTATAAACCTTATCTAATGGTGGTCAGTGGCGTTAGAAAATGGTCGTTTATGTAAAGGATGATTCTCGGACGAGTCGAGTGTGCCGCCTTAGCTACGCTCTGACGACGAAAGAGATGAATGTGGGAATCACCTCGCCCTCGTGTTGCGTATACTATTTATTAACACGCCGTGAGGGAAACGTAATGCGTCCAATAAAGGAATATACATTAAAAAACAAATCACTAGAAATAACTTACTTATAAGAAGGTAAATTAATTCCAGTCAGTGACGTAAAACTATTGTTTGTAAATAATAAACAAAGACGTCGTTAAGATGAAAGACAATTGCGAATCGATACAGTTGTTTCCCAAAAGATTTGCAACGTTTCGCACACGCTTTGCGGTGTTTCGCCCGTTAAAAAATTGCGTTTTCGCACACGGAAAACAAGCACAAGAAACTCGGTTTTGCGACGTGTTAAAAATAAATGTTCACTCGGGGTTTCTAAGTCCTGATTCGATATTTCTGTAAAATAAAAAAATAATCATTTAAGAGACATAACAGACAATCCTCAAGAAAACAGACGCTAATGTTTAATCACACATGTTTTTTACATTTGTGTAAATATGACTAAATTTGTGTAATCATGGGTAACATCAAGTTTATAATAATGAAAATATAGCGTATTGAAATAGATAAATATATTTGTAATTCTAACACTTTTTTTCATTATTTTTTTTAATTTATACATTTAAATTAACTAAACTTTATAATTAGCAGGGCTCACATTCTGATGACATTCCATCTTATTCATTGGGGCATTCTGGACGTAGATAACTAGTCAATAAATGTTTATCATTACATGGAGGTTATAGAGATGTATATTTATTGTGTCTTTTTTCATTTTTAATTATTTTTGTTATCGTTGAATCATTTTTACGCATTTTGTTTTCTTTTCGCGCTTTTTGTTAGTGACTGTTTCATGAATTTGCAATGACACTCTAAAACAAAGTTTTTATTGTATTATCAGTTCATGACGAAATTCACTACTGCAGTGGAGTCTGTTTTTCGAACTCTTAAAATTACACGTATCTTTGTTAACTTCCTCAATCTTACAAAACTGGCGGTTGGAAGATCGGTGCTAAGGGTTACATTTCCTCCTAAAAAAACGGATTTATATTAAATATAATTTTATATAAATTTATTTAAAATTGTAAAATTCATGGAGTAAGTGAATATTTTAATTCAATTTTTTTAGCATTTCTCAAAGTCATTTTATGCGGCACAACCGTCTTATTTTAAAGTCATTTTGAAAGAATATTTAGGTCATCAAAATCAGAACCCTGATAATTAGTTATCGATTATTTTCTAACAGTGTATATTTAGTAACTTTTAAAATGAACTAAGAACTCATGAATTTTCAGCCACCCACACAATGGCAGTGTACACTATCTGTGATTGATTGGTGGGGAAAGAAGAAAGTTACCTCTGTTTCTTTCAACGTGCTAAACTGTATGCAATTATCATTTAAAAAAATAATCTCCATCCGTCCTGAATTAGCATTTTACAAATACATTTCTTTGAGATCCCCTCTTGTGCTTGCAGCATTTTAGTAAAAAATTAAAGAAATATTTCAACAAAATGGTCAAATTTAATATTATTTTTTTAATACGTAATTATTACAAACACATGCGCTTACTTGATCCTACGTGGCTAGGTCGAAGGCCTTTAAGCCATTACGCCATTACAATACCTACATCCTTTCGCGTTCTAATCTTTCGAATTCTGTATCACCCCAATGTCTCGCCATCGCATCAAAGCCGCGGAAAAAGAGACCATAAGGTACGGCTCAGGAAAAAACCCTGAAGGAGGAAAATCTGCCGTCAGAATCCGAGTACATACTAATCAATCCGACGTTTATTTTTAACTATTTATTTTCTGGCGGCGGCGTGTGCCGTCTCCTTCCAGTGCTTGGCCTCTCAGCACACTGAAATCAAACAGCGCCACAGAAGATCGCCCGCACCAACGCCTCTGCCTCTTACATTTTCGATCCTCCGCTTCCCTTCACCCCTAATGTCTGTATTACTATGCCAGTTTTATTTTATTTATTATATTGACCTGTTACTTATCAATTGACTACGACTTATGACTTATTTCTTAACTGTTTACTAATACTGTCTAATTTAATATTTACGTGCTGGTTGTGGGTTCCAATACATTCTTTTTATTATTTAAATGCGAGGTCAGATATTTTTTTTGATAAGTAATCCGTGTATTTTTGTTTCATTCAGATAACCACATTAAATTTTAATTTAATATGTGTCATGATCTTTTTAAACTGAAGAGAACTTAGAAGTAGATGCTTTTATATATTTTCTTGCAATAGTGAGGATCTTTTATCTTGACACAATCATTCTTCTTTCTTGATTGAAGAAATATCAAAATAGGCAGTTGTAAGTTCTCTTATCATGATTATTTTGCTTGATAAATTTATTCAATATTTTTGTGAGTCGCTCTCTTCTATATTGATTTAGAGGTGCACCGTAAGGGTTTTATGTAGCTCTCTTCTGCATTTTAATTGCATTTCAAAGGCAAACATTTGACCACGGATCATTAATATTTTTTTGTAGCTGAAGGCGCAATAACATATTTACAAAATCACGCCCATTTCCTACGTATAGATACTATAGATATCCCCCCCATCATTATATGGAAATAACGGAAATACATTACACAGGAACACGAAGAAAAAATAATAATATTCGTATCTTCATCGTAACTGTATCCTTATTTTTCTTTTTTTTTCTTTCTTACTTTCTTTAGAAAAATTATTTTTGAAGGATGTATTTTCTCCCATCTATTTGTCGTGTTCTTTGACTTCCTTCTGTCTCGCCGTCTTCTTCTCGCCGTCTTCTTCTCGCCACTTCGCTTCATCTTTCACCCTGTCTCCTGGGCAGCCGCCCCGGTCTATTCGATTTCCTGCAAAGGCCGAAAGTTCATCGACCCCGTAAGCAGCGAGGCCCCTCATTCTTCCACTGTCTTCGTAATTCCTCTGGGTGGCGGCCCGTTGTGGATAAGAGCAATAAATCATCAGAACCGGTAGACTTGGATGTTTCAGGAGTGATCAATGTGGCTTGCTTTGCGAGTGTAGTTTCTCGTATGTAGCAACAAAAATGGTTACACAAGTTCTGAATCGAATAAAGTATTACTTAAATTCTTGGCATCCGGATCTGTCAATATTATACTCCCACTAAATGTAATGGACCTTTTTTATTACAATCAGTGGTTGATTATATTAGATTATTCTTCAAACTTTCTCTGCTCTGATTGAAGTTTGTAAATGCTTGTGTTTTATAATGATGTTTGTAATTTTTAAATTGGAAAAGTGATTGTAACACAATATAACGTATAAAAGTTTGAATTTGTTTACTTTTTTTGAAAGACATTTTTGAAAAAGTTCGTTCATTTTATTTTAATCGAAAATCGAAGTAGGTGCAAAGAGTTTTGTATCGAGTGTCTTGTGACAAATTTTAATAAAAATAGATCAATATTTAGATTTTATTTAAAATATTCAATATTTAGATTTTAGTCAAAAAACAATAAAAACTGTATGTGACGTATGGGGGAGAAGAACATCTGTGCACGTTTTCTTGAGTTCCAGAATCCCTTCCCATCATTGTAACTATAAATAGTTATAATATGCGTAAAAAGTGAAAGACAAATAAATAAAAATAAAATTAAAAAAAAGCGCGAGATTAGCGACATTTGAAAAACTACACATTTTCGTTCCTGAGTTACAGAAAACTTATTTGCAACGGTTAAAAAACTGCACATTTGATTTTTCTGCATTGGTAACAAAATAGTAACTCGTCCTTATCTCTATTACTGCCACTACAAGCAAAACGTGCACATAGTGAATCAACATTTAAGTCCAGAAGAAAAACAAGGGGCCATCTCAGCATTTGATCAATGTATCAGGGAAACTGGACAAAAACCTGATAGAGATGGGGGTCATTGACCCGGAACCTGAAGTACATTATTTGTTACAAACATATTAAGTATTTTAAAAAATACAATACAAATGTAAAGTAATTCATTTTGCATCACTGTTTTGTTAAAGTAAATATTATTTTTCTTTTTGCTGATAATTTGATGATGATGATGATGATGATGATGATGAATATTGACAACTTATTGTCATATTGGTATATTTTATTTAATTTATTTAGTCAAAGAATAGTAAACAAATGTATGTGACGAGTGGGGAAGTAGTACCAACTGCAGGTATCAGCTAATTACATCATTGTTAATTTTTAATTGAGCATGCAATTGCCGGCTTGAAGTGGAAAAATGCATTGAAACAGTGTTTCCTTGGTTAACTATCAATTTTTTTTTACGAAACCATTTGAAACTTCTGAAATCGTACTATTTATCGTTTATTTTTTGCAAAGAACATTCGTGTCTTCGGCAAGCAGAACTGTTCTTCCATTTTTAATGGACGAATGCATATTGTCTACTTATAAACGAAAGAGGTTGGGATCTAAGATCGACCATTGTAGGACCTTATGTTCAATTGGCGAAGAATTGGAATGATAAGATAATAATGTTCTTTCGTTCCCGTACCGTATTTCTACTCTTTGAGGTCGGTGTTTAAGGTACGATATTATCCAATCTAGGGCGATGGAGTAACATCCCAAATTTTGTGTTTACATCATGATTATTGTAATAATAATTCCATTTAGGTCTATATTAGGTCAAATCAATAATTTATCGGTTTGTCAAAGCATTGGACGCGACACGCAGATACGACAGCGCGCTGTATGAATGACGTACGAGAATTCCGTAGTTAGTCCGTAGTTATTTCTGAGCGTACTAATGGATTACTCAAACGAAACGCGCATGATATCCATGTGCAAATTCATCAGGTTTCTTTATAATATTATGACCTTCCAATTATTTTCTGAATGGAGGATAATTGACCACCATCCTGTAGGACTTGAAAATGTATGTGGAATTCGAAAATCTATGTTAACAATTGGTGTTCAATTATCAACTAGCCATATCCATTCGATAGATTCTTTCATCTACAGACCAATAATTAAAGTTGATCCTGTTAGTTTAATTCATTAAGTGCAACGCCGAAATGCTCGCTAATGCTCTTACGAATATACCTGCGATAATGAGCAAATATTACCATTGAAAATTTTCCTCTTTCCATTCTTGTTCTTTCTTTTCCTTCCTTTTCTCGTATCGTTTTCTCTCTGCGTGGGATTTCACAATTCTCTCACCGTCAGTCTTTCCCTCGTGCTGCAGGAAAAAACGACGAATTAAAATATGCATAAAAACTCTTATTACAGGGCCCTGGTAAAGAAAAACAGGATAAATCCTGTTGCTAAATTTAGCAAAAAAAAAAGATTGTTGAAAATCCTGATTTTTCGAAAATTACAAAAGTTTAAATTTTCAAGTCGGACTAAACTATAGTATTATTTATTTGTTGTTCAGTCCCTTATTTTAAATTAAGGAAAACAGCAATGATAAGTTCAAAAATGTCGTCACATAATAATTTTATTCACTACGACGTTTCGAAGACTGTTTTGTCTCCCTCATCAGGTGCAAAAAAATTTAATTACAATATTTTGCATGAAGACAAAATGATTTTCACAAAATTTATTTGAATTATGAATATTAGAATTATATTGTGACAACAATTTTAAGACTTAGTGTTAATAACTACATTACTAAATATAGAGATTTTTATCTTAATGAAATCTGTTTCTTAAAACTAGATTTTCATATGTTATCAGGTACTATTGTTCGAAAATTTCAGTACTTGTCCAGTTATGTTGCGTGAAAATACGGGCGAGAAAGTACGGGCTCTTTTACTACTTGTACGTGCATTACTAGTTTAAATTTAATTTTACTCGTAGTGCGTTTTTTACGTCGTCAACAACTCATTTTGAAGTCCTTAGTTTTTTAGGTCTTCCGGGCGTGGTGTGTTTTTTACATGTAGGGTAGAACGTCCATACTTTGGTCTCTCTTCTGCGTCCCGTTTGTTTATAGCAATACCTTAAGGATTTATCCACTAGACCAGGGTTATCCAACTGGCGTGCGGTCCGCGATGCCATTTATTGTGGCCTGCGAAAAGTTTTAGTAAAAAGTTAGTCCCCTGCATCTATATCGAGCGAGAAAACAGCGCACGCACCCTGACGGAGTCAACCCCCCCTTAATTTCGAAATAGGTTCATGTTTAGATTTATGAATTTTTAATGAATTGAGAAATTCAAAATTATCCCATGTGTTTCACTGCGTTTTGTATGCTACGTTCTAATATCACGCACGATTCCATTTTCTACCCCGTTTTAGAGCAGCCTGGCAAAGTTTCGAGTTCAACAATATGGGAAAGTGAGGTGTGGATCGCCCTTGTAATGAAAATATGGCTTGCAACCGTATTAAAGGTTTTAGTTATGGCCCTTGAGTCCTTGAAAGTTGGACACCCGTGCACTAGACAGATATTTGAAGAAAAACAAGAGCAACTACAACAACAAAACCCATATAACCACTCTAGATAGTTCTTTGTGGAATTGATATTCTTACAATGTCGCCTTCATTGTTCCTCTTAAAAATCTAGGTTTGTGTTTGCGTAACAGTAACTGCCAAACGTTAGTAACTTGCTTAAAATAAGTTAAACGACAATCGTCTAGTTCGGGAGCTTTAGTTTACAAAACGATCGATTTCTCGCACACTATTCTCTTCGATGTGTTTGCGGAACTGGCGGTCCCAGGCTGAATTCTAAAAGCTCTTGGGCAGTTTTGACAAGCTCTTAAAGCCCGTGAATTGACTTGCATATTGAATTTGTCTATAAAAATGAAATGTTCGAGGAAAGCTAACATTTTAGATATTTACATTTCAATCAACTTGTTCGAAAGAACATGTAACTTTTTTTTATTTTATTCCATAAAATTTATTTTACTGTATCATCCTATTGAAATTCTACAGTACATCAAAATAATTTTAATTTTTGGTAACATTGTTTGTTTAGCTTTGAACCGCAAATTAGGAAAAACTCTTGTAGTCAGAAGGTGGCCATGAAAGCATAATACCGCCCAACCGTTACAAAATTCGTTTCCTTTTCTCAAAGAGGACACGAGCATCTGGTTGAGAAAAGTTGTGTACATTCGAAAAGCATCTGAGGACGTCGTATTAAGTCTTTTTTATTTCAGTGATAAAGTGGGCAAGGACGTCGTAGGCATTTGTGCCCTTAAGAGCGCTTCACCTCTGCGTTTGAATGAGGAAAAACCCTCTGCGCTGACGAAGTAGAGATGATTTGCTCCTGGGAAGATAATACGACAAAGGTTTCTGTATTTGCTTCCCCATTATCAAGAAAAAAAAGAATATAAAAGAATCTCAAAGTGCAGGAGGTAGCTTTTTATTTCCATTCTGCCGGTTTCACTCGGCAAGTTTGCTCTTGACGATTGACTACTGGAGCTTGAACTTTCTCTTCCTTCAAAAAGGCAAAGAAGAATATTCTGCGAGATGCTTGAATTAAATTTACATCTTGTAAAACGCAATTTTCCATATATTTCTGTATTGTTGAGTGTTGGATTAAGAACTGTCTGTATAACGTCGGTTGTGTAGAAACAAGTTTTGATCATATCCAACTTATTTTATGAATAAAGGCATTTATAGGCTTTTACATTATATATTATTTTTGGGTTATTAATAATTAGTGTTATTGTTTTAGCATTTTAGAACTTCCATTTTGTGTTTTTTTTTATTTAAATTTAGTCATTCACCATGTCATGTAAAGCAGAAAACAAGCAATTTTATGTATTATTATAATACAATATAATTAGAATATTTTAAGTCTGTGAATTGTTTGTGAATTATATGTTTTTGATTCCTTAAAATCTAACATTATGTAGATGTTTTGATTTCAGACTTTCTTTGAATGATCCGTAAAGTTTTAAACTCTTTTTTATAACAACTCACTTTATTTCATATAACTCGTATGTTGCATTTGGTTATTTATGTGCCTCAAAGCAGACGGGAAAGTGGGACTTTACGGCACAATGTAACGTAATAAAATCCCATACAAAAAATACATATAGATGTTTAAAACTACGTGCAATGTATTACAATGTGTCGATAACATAGATTATATTACTATGACCCAATAATCTGTAATATGTCGACCATAAGAACTCGGAATCACCTTCTTGGACCGTAACAAAATTTCTATTGTTGGTTGCAAAATACATTACAATGGTGTAAAAGTAGTAGGGATCACTTAAGTCTGATAAGAATCCAACATTACATCCACATTGACCATAATATTATTTTTTACTCCACGAACAAAATTGTTCATATTATTTTCACACATTTCTTTCGATTTCTGAGATATAAATTGTTCAATTGCTTCATTGGATTGATTTTTATCGGTTTTAGAATGATAACATTGCGGTTGTATAGATAAATCGATATTCTAGGGAGCTCAAGTTCCTTGAGCAATATTTTATTAACACCCGTACATTGTGCATTGTGCACTTGCTGCATTGTGTCACTTTTTCCCTCTTTTTTATGTTTCAGCGTTTTTTCCGCACTTTTTTCTTCGTTTTCAAACATCGGTCAGAAAGATGAATTTTTTCTCTTTTTGAACAGCGTTTTGAAATCTCATTTAATCAGAAGTTAACAATATTAAAGCCCACCAAGTCCGTTATTTTGAACAAAAATGTTCGGACCGTGCTTTGGAAAGAGAAAGAAAGTGAAATGTATACTTCTTTCAAATTATTCATGCCCAGCCTGGATCCTGGCGGGGCTCAGTTCGAAGGTGGATCCTAACCAGTACAGTATTTGGAGGTGCAAGATAAACGAGTGTTGCTAAAATAGCTCGTACTTTCTCGCCTGTATTTTCATTTTAAATTACGCGACAAGTACTCACAGTTTCGAAACATTATTTCAAAATGTATCCTTGGTTTCTTTAAGGGGAAAGTTTCTATCTTCATTCGGTTGAAGGAAGATCTAGAAAAAGTGTTGAGCTTTACAATTTTCGAAAAATCAGGGTCTTTAACGAACATGAGAATGCTTAAACTTCCTTCGCACTATCCAACAACAAAATTTAATAAAAAAAACTGGGAAAAGATTTTTTTGAAAATGTCCCATGGGCTTCATGAAAGTACCCCCCCCAAATTAAAATATTAGTTTCAAATTCACAGGCACGTGAGATTAGCCAGATCGTTTGGGGAATATCAATTTTGGAGAAAATCGGCTGAAGGGTTTAGCCACGGGCGTTGTTTTCAGACGGACAGACGTTTTGCCTTCATTCGATTTTTTGGTGTCAAGGAACCACAAAACATGGATTCTGGCTACACAACGTGATAAGAGAATTTTTTCTTAAACGTATCAACTAGATTTATCCCATTTTTCGTTTCCAGGGCCTTATCATAAAAGTTTTCTGCCAAAAATTGACCTTCTTTTGCGCAGCATTACATAACTTTTTCTCTTCTCCATAGCGAGAAAGTAAAACAGAGACCCTTTCAATAAACGTAAAGTACACCGCATACCATCCCTGAGGAAGACCACGACAGGATGGTCGAAACGTCGGCAACTCAGCCTTCGACGCGGCGTCACCCGGACAGCCCAGATCACCCACATGACTCTGGTCGCGGAAGCCTACGACTTCATTCGACAAAGTACACTGGCCCACTGAATACTGAAGTTGATGATCGTCCACATGCGGGGCAGTGGATACACTGAGAAGCCCTGTAGTTACGGCGGAGCCTTGGTGAATTGTCCACAGACCATTCGACCGGTGGAATTCAACCATTTGGCCGGTGAAATTAGCACATGTAATTGTAATGCACTACAACGGACACTCATCGAGTTACTATCCAGTTGAATGTGGCATAACATAGGTCACACACCAACGGCAAAGTTCAATTGTTAATGAGCGGAACAAATTATGTTGCGCGACGAAACTGCCCACACGTACGTGCTCTGCGCGAGAGACATTAATTGCACTGAGTGTAATGAAAATGACGAGACGTAAACGACTGCTTCGAGCCCGATGAATCTTTAACAAGTACAAAATTGCACACCTGTGCATATAAAGCGAGTATTGAATGTCTAGTTAAATTACGTACAGCCGCTGGCGTGTGGAGTCTGGCCTCCGAGTTATTGAATGGGAGCTCGCGAGTACTGCGCTCCTCCGGTTCAGCCGGAAGAAAAATGGAATCGGAGGGCCAATTGTTCTTGTTCACGCGGCGCGACCCGCTCAGTTTACCGGGCCGACCAGAATGTAAGTTTGTGCGGTTGAACATTAATATACGATGTGTGGCGTGTGGAAAATAAAATGCCAAGGAATATAAGAAATGGGACGCGTGGTTGCCAGATGCTTCGTGCAAACATTTTGTTTTAGATGGATGTAAAACCGCCCAATTCCGCCCAATAAGAAGAATTCAACATTCCAAGCTGGAAATTCGAATTTGCAATAAAATAATGGAATTTGAATTCTTTTGAGATAGCATTTCAAGCATTTCATAGGAACACTATGAAATTCTTAATTAGGTTTATTTTTTGTTTGTGAACATTGTAATTAATAATAATATTTATATAAAAACTTGTACTTATTGTAATAATGAGTTATATTTTAACATTTAAAAATTCTTTGACTATTCATATGACTACAGCTGATGGGATAAATACTATTAGATAAAATAATTTCCCAATTTTCTCATTTTCACTCTTCTTGCCTTCTTGCCTTTTTGTCCCGCGAGAGAGAGCCGTATTCCAAACCAAAAAGCGGAATTTCGCCCAATCTGGGAACCCTAATGGGACGTCGAATTTGCGTGCTTTCCTTTTCTAGTCTACATATTTTACCACTATGTAATAATAATAATAATAATAATATAATAATAATAATAATAATAATAATAATAATAATAATAAATATGCCGCACGACACAGCAAATCACGAAAGACAGGTTAAATTATAAAATATAACTTCATACGATTTAATCTTATTTTCCTATAGTTAATACAATGTAGCTACCGCGGTAGCAATCCCATCCGAGGGAAATTACGTGCGTATGGAGTCAATATTCGTTCGACGGGGAACTAGAACTACGTCGTCACATTGAGTGTTTAATCTATAGAAATGAAAGAGGAAAATCTGAGATGTTTGAATTTCGCGGTTAAAAACCAACCGGACGTCATTCGGATGCTCCGATTGAAAAGGGATTGATAGTTTTGGGTTGTGACATTATTTAAAAACTGTCAAATTTTTCCAACGATAATTTGTATATTGGGCAAGATTTTTCCCCCTGTAATATTTTTAAAGTAATATTTCAATACCTTTAAGGGACCGACAGCCTGAGAAAATGTGAAAATGCGTGTTTTTGGTGCCAATAGTTAGAAGATGAGAAGTCTATGGAACAAAACCAGAAAAGAATGAATTGACTGGAGAGACGAGGAATCAAGTACAATAATGTGTGTCTTTCTGTTGCACCACTAGTTATTTTATGATTTCTTGGGGTCACCAGATCTGCAGACTGTTTTTTTTTTGTGTAGAGGCAAACTGCCACAGTCAATGTTTCTACTATTTGGAAGTTTTTGAATATCACAAGATTTCCAGTGGAAAATTTAAAAACATCCTTCCAGCGTTCGACTGCCTCAAAGAATTCTTTTTTGGAAATAATTACATATTCTGAGCTGTTAATTCATGTTTCATTGTCTACATTTTTTGCTAGTACATTGATGTAAAGGAGTATTTAGTTCAGTTGTGAAAAAGCTTCATATTATCTATTTGTAAAAGAAGGAAGTGGAGCGCTTAGGGATTACCAGTACAATAGCGCTCAGTTCATTCTTATGATTAAATCCGAAAGGCTGATGTGAGTGGAGGAGGGTTTTGTGCCGCAGACCGGCGCCACACATTCTTCCAACTCCATTTCCATGAAACTTACTATACTTGTTATTCCAGCTCTTGAGCGTCGTGCCCCAGTAAGCCTGGCTCAGACGGCTCGCACGCGAGTGGGGCTTATCTCCCTCTGCCGCCGCCGCCGCCGCCACCGCCGCTGCTGCTGGCTCGCGCTGGCCGCGGGACAGATGGGGATCCCCGGGCCCGGGCGCTGCCCAGGGATGAGAGGCGGCTGCCGAGGGGAGGCGATAGACGAGGCGAAGTGATGGAGTTATTTTTTTATTTAGTTGTGCGTGTTTGTTTGGGCTTGTTGGAAGGTGATTTTTATGGTGATGGTGGGGTTTTGGGCCGTGCATGGTGGTGGTCGTGTGGGGTTTTTGTGGGGGTTGGTCGTGTGGGGTTTTTG